CCAGGCCCTCCCCTCCCTGAGACCAGGGATCTGGAGAGGAGGAGGGGTTCAGCCTCACAGGCCCCACCCAGGGTTCCCAGGGCCGCCAGGTAGGGGCTGCACAGATTTCTGGGCCATCCCCTCCTTGTCCCGAGGGGTGCGTTGGGAGCCACTTACCCCTCCCTCAGGGGGGTCCCCGCACTGACTCTTGGCAGGAGCAAGGACTCCTGTGTGTCTCCCAGGTGGGCTTCCCCAGATGACCTAACCCCGACCTCTCCCAGCAGGGTCCTCACCTCCCTGAGAGCTCCGAAAAGAGGGTGAGGAGCCAGCACGTCCTCATCAACGGCCACGTCTCCATCCCCCACCCTCAGCCCCTGGCAAGATCCCAAAGGGCTGGTAGTAGGGACCGGCCCCTCTGTCCTGGGGTGGGGATGCCCTCAGGCCCCCAGGACGCTAATCCTCTTTCTTCCTGGGGCCTGCCCTTCTTCCAGGTCTCCAAGGTGAGACAGAAACCATGTGCCCTTCAGACCAAGACCTCAGCTCCCCGAGGACTCCTGCCTTCCGGCCCATGAGACAAGTGAGCATGTGTGCCACGTTGGGCCCCCGCTGACCAATCCTCCCTGGATCAGGCACGGCCAGACTCTGGTGCACTGGCTTCTTTGCTGAGATGGGGTGGAGGGGGGTACGGCCAGTCCTCCCCCAGGGTCCTCACCCTGACTCCCAACCGGACCTGTGCCCCGCTCCCCCCGACCCTGCCCTCCACCCTCACACACACACAGGCCTGCTACACCCCAGGCCGCTCCTTCTCACCACAGGCCCTCAGGCTCTAACAGCCAGATGTGGACCCCCGGACAGGAGGCATGGGCTCCTCCTCCCTGGCCTGACCGTACTGCGGCCCAGTCAGTCCTCCCTCTGGTCCTCCCCTTCCATCCTGGCAGGACCGGGCTCAGCCTGGGCGGCCCCGAAGCCTCCTCCTTCCACCCAGACCCCAGGCTCTAGGAGACGTGGCTGGGAAGTCAGGGCACGCCCTAGGTGACCATCTGGCCCCAGGGCCTCCCGGGACCAAATCTGTTCGCTGTCCCCAATCCCGCAGTCCTCCTTCCGGTCCTTGCATTTCCACCCAGCAACACGTGGGCCACCGCCCCCCCACCCCCATACTTGAGGCAGTGCTCCATCCAAAGGGCCATGGGTTCTCGGAGGCCCTGAGGCCAAAGTGGCCACGCACTGTGTGGGCTCTTCCATCCCAGGAGACTCCCGTGGCTGAATCAGGGCCGCGGTCCTGTGGGCTCCCTGGGGAGTCCCTTGGAGGTCCTCGCTTCGAGCCCTGGCAGGTCCTAGGCTCCTCCGTCTGCTGTCCCCAAGCTGGTCTGCCAACACCAAGGCCCTCCCTGCCCTGAGCCCACCGGGTTAAGTCTGTGGCCAACACGTGCGGCCACGAAGCCCAGGGCTTCCCAAGGCTGACATGGGGCATCCAGGTCTCTTGGGCCTTCTTCTGATCTCCACCTATGCCTCTGCCTGTCCCTACTGCCTGCGGATCGGCTCCCGGGCACCGGGGCATCCCGTGTCTGGGACACCCGGATGGGCAAGTGGGGGACACACAAGTGCACGCACAAACACAAACGGGGTGTCCACGTCCTCCACTCGGGCCTCTAGGGACTGTCTCTGGGCTGGGGTCCAGGGTCTCTCAGTCCTCCCTCTGCAACTTCAGCGTAAAGCCCAACAGGACCTGGGCCTGCCCCTCTGCCCCCCTGAGGGAGGCCCTGCTCCTTCGATCCACCAAGGACCCCAGGTTCTCGGGAGACCCAGATGCAGAAGTCCGGCCACACTGGCCACGTGTCCCCATCCCGCCCAGGGGGGGCCTCCCTAGGCTGACATCATGGGTGGGCTTCTGCGGGGCTCCCCTGTGTCCTCCCTCAGGGTTTAACCCTGGCATCCCCACGCAACCCCCCCCCCCCCGCCACTGGGTGACCAGGGCCCTCTCCTCTGCCCACCTGAGCATCTGCTCCTTTCATCAGGCCCTCACCTCAGTCTCTCTCAGACACGGATTCGGAAGTCCAGACTCACTACGTGTTCCAATCACCCCCCCTCCCCCCAATGGACCTTCCCTGGCCGACGCTGTGCTGGGGTCCACGGTCCTTCACTCCTCCCTCCGCAATCTTAACATGAAGCCCAGCAGGACCTGAGCCTGCCCCTCTACCCACCCGAGGGAGGCCCTGCTCCTTCTGCCAAGGCCCCCAGAGACTTTGAGACCTGGATGTGCAAGTCCGGACTGACCACGTGCTCCCACCCCCCACTCCCCCACCCCCCGTCACGACCTTCCAGGACTGACCCTGTGCTGGGGTCCAGGGTCCCTCAGTCCTCCCTCTGCTTAGTCACCATAAGGCGCAGCAGGACCTGAGGCCGCCCCTCTGCCGACCAGAGGGAGGCCCTGCTCCTTCCGCCAAAGTACCCAGCGTCTTTGAGACCCGGATGCGGAAGTCCGGACTCACCACGTG